TTTTTTTTTTTTTTTTTTTTTTTTTTTTTTTTTTTTTTTTTTTTTTTTTTTAATTCATCATTATATCATGTACAATTCATAAGCATATGATCTTGGAAATAAGTTGAATACCCTCCATATTTGCTCCCTGTAGTGAGATCAGTTCTTTGATAATCTTTTATGTATCTGCAGTTGCTGCATTGCTAGCAATAAAGAGGAGTCTAATTGATCCTATGGATCACCTTAAAAACTGGACTAAGGGAGATCCTTGCATTAATGGTTGGACTGGAGTGGTATGCAACTCTACCAATGGAAATGTTGGGAACTTACGTGTCAAAGAACTGTATGTTTTGTCCAGCACTCTCCCCTTCCTTTACTATTACTTCTTTAATTTCCCCATGTCGGATCTACAAGAGAGGGGATCGAAGCATTCCTTATAAGGGTGTGAAAACCTCTCCCTAGCAGACGCATTTTATAACCGTGAGGCCGACGATGATATGTAATGGGTCAAAGCGAACAATGTTTACTAGCGGTGGACTTGGGGGTAGTTACAAATGGTATCAGAGCCAAACACTGAGCGGTGTGCTAGCAAGGTCATTAGGCCCTCAAGAGAGTTGGATTATGAGATCCCACATCGGTTGGAGAGGGGAACAAAATATTTTTTATAAGGGTGTGGAAAGCTCTCCCTAGTAGACGTGTTTTAAAACCGTAAGCCTGACGGCGAACGTAACGGGCTAAAGCGGATAATATCTGCTAGTGGTGAGCTTGGCTGTTACAAATTGTATCAAAGCCAGATACCAAGCGGTGTGCTAGTAAGGACGTTGGGCTCCCAAGGTGGGTGGATTATGAGATCACACATCGGTTGGAGAGGGGAACGAAGCATTCCTTATAAGGGTGTGGAAAACTCTCCCTAGCAGACGCGTTTTAAAATCGTGAGGCCGACGGCGATATGTTACAGGCCAAAGCAGACAATATCTACTAGCGGTGGGCTTGAGCTGTTATATCGAAAACAAATGAGTGATCGTGGCTTAAGCAATGATTTGATAACGTACATGGTATGTAGGTATTGCAATGTATTACATTTGATTTTCCCCTTTTGTTGCAGCCATCTGTTGAATCAGAACCTATCTGGAAACTTAGCCCCTGAGATCAGCCAATTGTCCCAACTTGAGAAGTTGTGAGTAATTGACAATGAAATTGGTATCTTGAAGAAAATTCCATTGTTGTATTTATACTTTCCTAAACTTTCTTTCTGGTAATGATTTTCTTCTCTTGGTTTATCCTGGAAGAGATTTCATGTGGAATGACTTAACTGGTTCAATTCCGAAGGAGATTGGCAGTCTTAGGTTCCTTAGACTATTGTAAGTTAAATTTCACTGAATTTTTTTTAGTTTATTTCTTTCTTTCCTTCATGGTTCATTATAGACATTTCATAATTTATTATACTAAATTACTTCTACTTATTGTTAAAGATCATTGCAGCAAGAGAACCTTCACGATCTCAGCTTTTTGTGATTATCCTCTTTCTTTCTTATTACCAACATTTGGGCTTTGTTTTTGTTACTCTTCTTATGAGAGAGATCTCACGTCACTTGAAGAGGGGAACGAAACATTCCTTATAAGGGTGTAGAAACCTCTCCCTAGCAAACGCGTTTTAAAACTATGAGGCGGACAATGATACTTAATGGGCCAAAGTGGACAATATTTGCTAGCGATGGAGTTGGACTGTTACAAATGGTATCAGAGCCATTTATTGAGCGGTGTGCTAGTGAGGACGCTGGGCCCTCAAGGGGGTGGATTGTGAGATTCCACATCGGTTGGAGAGGGGAACGAAACATTCCTTAAAAGGGTGTGGAAACCTCTCCCTAGCAGACGCGTTTAAAACTGTGAGGCTGATGACAATACGTAACGGCCAAAGCGGACAATATCTGCTAGCGGTGGGGTTGGATTGTTACAAATGGTATTAGAGCCAATCACTGGGTGGTGTGCCAGTGAGAACATTGGCCGCCAAGGGGGGTGAATTGTGAGATTCCACATCGGTTGGAGAGGGGAACGAAACATTCCTTATAAGGGTGTGGAAATCTCTCCCTAGCAGATGCGTTTTGAAGCTGTGAGGCTGACGACGAACGGGCCAAAGCAGACAATATCGGTTAGTGGTGGAGTTGTGTTGTTACAAATGGTATCAGAGCCAGTCATCAGGCGGTGTGCCAAAGAGGACACTGGCTCCCAAGGGAGGTGGATTGTGAGATTCCACGTCGATTGGAGAAATGAACGAAACATATCTTATAAGGGTGTGGAAACCTCTCCCTAGCAGACGCATTTTAAAACCGTGAGCTAACGACGATACGTAACGGGCCAAAGCGGACAATATTTGCTAGCGGCGGGGTTGAGCTTGAATTTATATTGAATTTATTATATATATATATAGATTATGTATAGCAAGGTAAAACAACTACTTTTAATCTTAGTTTCTTCCAAATCTAACAGTTTGAACGTTTTTGGTGCAGACTCTTAAATGGAAATAAACTATCTGGTTCTCTTCCAGATGAGCTTGGTAATCTTACAAATCTCATCCGATTCCAAGTAGATGAGAATCAACTTTCAGGGCCTATCCCAAAATCATATGCTAACTTGACCAATGTGAAGCACATGTGAGTGGGTCTTCATCTCTTTTTCATTGAAAGTTGACCCAAACAACAGTTTTTTTCCCCCTCATTTCTTTGATTACTTTGCAGCCACTTCAATAACAACACACTCAGTGGTCCAATTCCATCCGAGCTTTCCACATTACAGAAGCTTATTCACTTGTGAGTACTTAAGTTATTTGATATGTATGGAGGTGATCAATAAAACATTTCTTATCCAAAAATGTGTGTATATGGAAGTGATGGTGGGCATACTTCCTATGATGTTTTTTTGTTCTCGACAGGCTTTTGGATAACAATAAATTGTCGGGTTCTCTGCCACCGGAATTCTCGAGACTGCCAGCTATAAGCATTCTGTAAGTTCACTTTCATTCTATGGTCAAGTTTCTTTTAGCACATTCAAAATTATGTCATAAGTGTTAGGATCGCACAATAACGCACACACTCGATCAAGATGAACACAAAGAACAAGAGAGAGAAAATGCAAGGAGGAATATTGGCTATTACTTCAGGTATGTACACCGAGAGAGAATATAGAGAATGAAGAAAGTACATTTTGAAAACACTGACTAAGGGATATATATATGGTTTCATTTTCCTATATATAGCTTTAAACCACCTACTATATATAAATATCATATCCCAACAATAAGAACACTCAAGCACACAGGCTTAGAGAACACTAAGTGGTGTCACATTTCGAAAAAGTGATTCCAATTGTTTACAATTAAAAAATATCACAAAATCCCAAAGACCCTATACACTAAGATCTACATAGAGGCAATTACGTGCATAGCGCTCCTAATCTCTTCCCATGAAACTTCAGCATCATAAGTTAAGGAGTAGCTTTCTTGTTTAAAAGAGCAAGCTCATTTGAGCATCGGAGGATATTCAATGTATGTCGATCGTACAACAACGCACACCCTCGTTCTAGATGAACACAAAGAACAAGAGAGAAAAAATGCGAAGAGGAATATTGGCTAAAGGTTTATATTGATGACTTCAGGTATATATAGTAAGAGAGAATACAACGAACACAAAAAGTACATTTTCAAAGCACCGTCTAAGGGTATATATATGGTTTAGGTTACTATATATAATTTTACCAAATATAACTATCTATCATATATAGCTTTACAGATATACCCTTTTACTATATAAAGTTGTTTACTGTATATGACCATTTTCTTTATATGTCATCTGCCATATATAGCTTTGTTATGTATAAACACTGAGTCAGCTATAAATAAGTAGCAAGCTCCATAACCCAACAATTTTGGGGACTCAGTAGTGTATTCCTTGTGAGTGTTAGGAGGACATCGATCACGTTTTGTCATGAAGATTTGGGGTAGGAGTTTGAGAGACTTTTGTGATAGTATGGCTCCAAATATGTTGCTTTTTGATGGGTCTTGAGGAGTTTTGGGGTTTGATTTGCTTTAATACTTCCCTTTTAAGTATGTATGCTTAATTGAACACATTTCTTTAGTTTTAACCAAATTTAAAAAAAAAAATTCCTTTTATGTTTTACTTCAAAGCAATAGAGATTTTTTTCTTTCGACCATCTTTCGAAATCCTTTATTTTTTCAACTCAATCGCTCTATATTAGATGTTAACTAGTTATATAGGAACTAAAGATATATCTAATCCGCTCTAGTTCACCTACTTCTCAAAATACGGATACACCTCCATGAGCTTTGGTCCATATCTGGGTCAATCCCTGCAAAGACATCTTTGAACAAGGTTCTAGCACTAGAATGTCCTTGTTGCGATCCTTATTATTATTATTATTATTTTACTTGATCATATTGCCATATGTTGTTGATCATTTATAGTTTCCATTATGTTCCTTTTTTTTGTTATATTTTCACTTCTATGCTGTCCTTGGCAGGCAACTTGATAACAACAATTTGGAAGGAGAAATTCCAGCATCTTATGAAAGTTTTTCTACATTAGTGAAATTGTAAGAGTTCCTTTCAGTTTGCACGTTTGCACCTTCCATGCAACCCTTTAAAAAAATTTCTCTCTAAATGGACGTGTTTTAATTTTTACATGCATACACCGTTAGGAATCACGACTCTCTCCAATGGTATGATATTGTCCACTTTAAGCATAAAATCTGATGGTTTTGCTTTAGGTTTTTCCAAAAGGCCTCATACCAATGGAGATTCAACCCCTTAATTAGCCGATGTGGGACTCCTCTCCCAATAATCCTCCCCTCGAACAATGTACACCATAAAGCCTCCTCTAGGGCCTATGGAGCTCTCGAATAACCTCTCCCTTAGTCGAGGCCAGACTCCTTCTCTGGAGCCCTCGAACAAAGTACACCCTTTGTTCGATACTTAAGTCATTTTTTACTACACCTTCGAGGCTCACAACTTCTTTATTCGACACTTCTCTCCAATAGTGTGATATTGTCTCACTCTCATGGTTTTGCTTTGCTGTTAGTTTTCCAAAAGATCTCATACCAATGGAGATGTATTCCTTACTTATAAATCTATGATCAACCCCTTAATTAGCCGAGGTAAGACTCCTCTCCATACAATCCTCAACATACACTTCAACAGGAATCATGTTCTTTGTTTATTCTTACCTTATCCACTCTAAAGATTGTTAGACATGAAGATTATCAATTGAAATTTGAATCCTTCATGAGTAAATTTTCCACAAATCATGAACAAATCATGAACTACCAATAGGCTTCATAAATCTTCTCGAAGGGGGCTAATGCTTTTGTCCCATCACTATGGTTCTTTTGCAGAAGTCTTAGGAATTGCAGCTTGGAGGGACAGATTCTTAATTTTAGCAAGAATGCAAACCTGAGTTACTTGTAAGTTACAGGATCTCTAGGTGTTTACTTTTGATTCAGTCAATTTTCCTTCTTCTATATGGCTAATGATCATTGCTATGATATTTTCTACTTTGCTTGTTCTACAGGGATCTTAGCTGGAACCATTTTACTGGACCCATACCACCATATAACCTCTCTTCTCAAATGACAACGATGTATGCCATTTATTGGTGTTGAATTATCAATTAGTACTTGTTGAGGATTGTTTGGAGAGCCGTCCCACATTGGCTAATTAAGGGGTTGGTCATGGGTTTATAAGTAAGGAACACTATCTCCATTGGTACGAGGCCTTTTGGGAAAACCAAAAGCAAAGTCATGAGAGCTTACGCTCAAAGTGGACAATACCATACCATTGTGGAGAGTCGTGGTTCCTAACAGTACTTGCTTATGTTTTGATGAGTTTTCTCGTGCTTAACAAATCCATTTATGTTGTAGAATTTTGTCACACAACCAGCTGAATGGATCTATCCCCAGCAGTTTCTCCGGTCTTCCTGCCCTTCAGAAACTGTAAGATTGTATCTGATATCAATGCATGGTCTTACAAATGTTTTCATGACAAAATGGCTATGTTTGTCAAAGCATCTGATCTTGTCAATGACTGTTCCTTGCAGGTCACTTGAGAACAACTCTCTAAATGGTTCTGTACCTTCATCTCTATGGGAGAAAGTGGTCTTCAATTCAAGTGCTCGACTTTTACTGTAAATCCTTGAGCAAAAAAATAGGATAGGAATTTGAGACGTTATTGGAGCGCCGTTCCTTTTTTTTTTTTTCCTGTTCTTGAGAGAGTGAGATCTGATGACGTTTCTATTTAATGAATGATCACTTCCTTTTCTTTTTAATCCAGTGATTTTCGGGACAATTCATTTTCTGGCATTTCCGGAAGCACGAACCCTCCAGTTAATGTCACTCTAAGGTATGCATTTTATTCAATGCCCAGGTTCTTTTATTGGCTTTGATGTCCATGAAAGCCTATCTTTTCTAGGCATGCATTATATGTCTTGGCCACATCAAACTGTAGGTGCTATCATAGGAAAGTACTGTTAATAGGCCCTGTCGAGACGAGAATGAGTTATCTTTTTCTTTAGAAGTTTAGCTGACGTCGTATACTGTAATAGCCCAAGCTCAAGCCCACCGCTAGTAGATATTGTCCTCTTTGGGCTTTCCCTTTCGGGCTTCCCCTCAAGGTTTTTAAAATGCGTCTGCTAGGGAGAGGTTTCCACACCCTTATAAAGAATGTTTTGTTCTCCTCCCCGACCGATGTGGGATCTCACAGTCCACTCCCCTTCGAGGCCCAGCATTCTCATTGGCACTCATTCCCTTCCACAATCGATGTGGGACCCCCTAATCCACCCCCCTCGGGGCTCAGCCTCCTTGCTGGTATATCGCCTAGTGTCTGGCTCTGATAACATTTATAATAGCTCAAGCCCACCACTAGCATATATTGTCCTCTTTGGACTTTCCCTTTCGGGTTTCTCCTCAAGGTTTTTAAAACGCGTCTACTAGGGAGAGCTTTCCACACCCTTATAAAAAATGTTTCGTTCTCCTCCCCAACTGATGTGGGATCTCACATATACACACAATATATTGTAAATTCCCTGTATTTTTCTTTTTCGTAATGTCTTTTAGTCCAAAATGTAAGTTTCTGCATGTATTATATGCATGCGTGGAATTCAAATGTCTGAGTTGTTGCCTTTTTTTCCCTGTTCACAATCATTTTGTCTATGTTAAATCTTGAAAGAGTTCTTTGGCTTCTTATTTTCAGAAAACTGCTTTCCATAATCCTCATTCAACCATGTTTCATTCTGCAGGCTTGAAGGAAATCCATTCTGCCTAAATTTTAGAGGACAGAACTCTATGTTGTTCTGTGCATCAAAAACTGTAGATGATGGGTTGTTTAGAAGCTCGAGCACCTTCAACAAATCATGTCCAGTCAGAGGTTGTCCAACAGATGTTTTTTTCGAATACGTGCCAGACGCCCCAGATCCATGCTTTTGTGCAGCACCCCTTGGGATAGGATATAGGCTAAAGAGTCCAAGTTTTTCCTACTTTCCTCCATACATATATTCATTTCAAGAATATGTGACAAAGGAACTCACTTTGGATAAGTATCAATTGTCGATCGATTCATACGATTGGGAAGGATCTCGTATGAGGATGTATCTTAAGATTTTCCCATTATTTGATAGTGGTTCTCACTTGTTGAATGACAGTGAGGTGTTTCAAATTACAGAAAAATTTATGTCGTGGAATTTTACTCGTAATGACCTCTTTGGCCCGTACGAGCTTCTCAACTTCACGTTCCCCGACCGTTCTCAGATCGGTGTGCATTTTGTTTTGCAATGTTCCTTTTAAATAATGGTGCTCAACTGGCCTTGTTCTGTTTTAACCTTTCAAGTTTATCAATGCAGTCATTTTCCATAGAGAGAAGGTGGGGATTGGTGCAGGCATCTTGGCTGCCATTATAGTTGGATCTGTCACCTGTGTTGTTTTGATTGTAGCAGTGGTCATACTTCTGTTCACTAGGCGTTCGAGTAGCCGTAACAATTTGTCAAGGAAAAACTTCTGTAAGTATGATAGAACTGACGATCGAGTTAATCTCTGATGATTATGACAAAAAGTGCCTGAAAATTTTCTTTCGTTACAGCTTCGGTGATTGGTATGAAGATTGATGGTGTAAAAGCATTTTCATTCAAGGAAATGCAATCAGCTACTGGATATTTCAACTGCTCATCCCAAGTAGGCCATGGAGGATATGGCAAGGTCTATAAAGGCATATTGTCTGATAATTCAGTTGTCGCTATCAAGCGTGCAGAAGAAGGATCGTTGCAAGGCCAAAAAGAATTTTTGACAGAGATACACCTCTTATCACGAGTTCATCACCGAAATCTAGTTTCGCTAATCGGATATTGTGATGAAGAAGGGGAACAAGTATGTTTCTTGGTTGCTTGGTTTCTTTGTTTTGTTTCATTTAAGTTCTATGATGATCTCTTGGGGCTAGCCATTGAGCTTATGAATGTCATTAAATCATGTCACTGACTACATATGTTGATATCAACTTTAAAAGTCGGACAAGGTTTCATTGATTTATTTCGTTCTGTCGTTCTGCAGATGCTGGTTTACGAGTTTATGTCGAACGGGACTTTGCGGGACTGGATTTCTGGTTGTGAATTTTCTGGTATTGGCCTCAGCTAATATCTTAATTTGTTCTGAACCTTGATCTATTCTACTTGTTCATGGCTTCCATTATATGCTTCATTACAAATTCTCTTGGGACTGAAAATTATGCTGGTCACCTATGTCCCCATGGATCCATATATATTGACATATATAAGTTGTAGGTACTAGACATTGAGTTCATTATAATGTTCATTTCATATGAAGGTCTCTGTGTATAGGTTTATTTCTTTGGCTTCTAGATGATATGGGGTTGAAGTCTTTTAGACTTTGTGTGAGATCTCACCTCCGTTGGAGAGGGGAATGATGAGGATGCTGGCCCCAAGGGGGCGGATTGTGAGACCCCAGATCATTGGAGAGGGGAACGATACATTCCTTATAAGGGTGTGGAAACTCCTCCCTAGCAGATGCGTTTTAAAGTCTTGAGGGATAGTCTAAAAGAGAAAGCCCAAAGATGACAATATCTGCTAGCGGTAAGCTGGAAACCTCTCCTTAGCAGACGTGTTTTAAAATCTTGAGGGGAAGTTTGAAAGCTCCTAACGGTGTGGAAACCTCTCCCTATCAGACACGTTTTAAAACCTTGAGGGGAAGCCCGAAAGGGAAAGCCCAAAGAAGACAATATCTCCTAGCAGCGGGCTGAAAACCTCTCCCCAGTAGACGTGTTTTAAAATCTTGAGGGGAAGCCCGAAAGAGAAAGTCCAAAGAGGACAATATATGTTGGCGGTGGGTTTGGGCTGTTACAAATGGTATTAGAGCCTGTCACCGAGCAGTGAGGACGTTGGGCTCCCAAGGGGGTGGATTGTGAGATCCTACATCTGTTGGAGAGGTGAACGATAAGGATGTTGGGCCCCCAAGGGAGGTGGATTGTGAGATCCCACATCGGTTGAAGAGGGGAACGATGCGTTCCTTATAAAAGTGTGGAAATCTCTCCCTAGCAGACGCATTTTAAAACCTTGAGCGGAAGCCCGAAAGTGAAAGTCCAAAAAGGACAAGATTGTTTGGTTCTTGTCGGTAGTTTTCAGCTTTGCATCTGATATTTTAGTTGTATCATTAACTTGGACTATTCTATGGCAGCCAAAACTGCAGTAAACCTGAACTTTCGTAGGAGATTACAAATTGCATTGGGTTCAGCTAAAGGTATACTGTATCTCCATACTGAAGCAAATCCTCCTATATATCACCGAGACATAAAATCTAGAAACATACTTCTCGACGCCAAGCTCACTGCCAAAGTCGCTGATTTCGGGCTGTCACGTCTTGCTCCCGATCTCGACTATGAAGGGGACGCTTCTGGACACGTATCTACTGTTGTGAAGGGTACCCCGGTAAGTATATCTTGACGAACATGGTCTATATAAAGCATGCAAAATTTATGGGAATACCCTTGAGCTTTCAAAAGTTTCATCAATACCCTTAAACATTTTTAAAAACTTCAACTGATGTGGGAGAGTTCTTCGTATCATGCAGGGTTACCTTGATCCGGAGTACTTTTTAACCCATAAATTGACCGACAAAAGTGATGTCTATAGCCTTGGCGTCGTGCTCTTGGAGCTCTTAACCGGAATGCATCCTATTTCTCACGGCAAAAACATCGTTCGTGAGGTATATTTCCATTCACCATTCATCTTCTACGTCTTATACAACATTTTTAAAAGTTCACGAACATTTTAGACACTCTGAATCTGAAAGTTGAGGATCTAAACTTATAATCGAACATTTTTCTCGTTTAGGTAAAACTGGCACATCAACTAGGAACAATGCTTTCAATTGTTGACACCAGGTTGGGTTCGGTCTCGGCCGAGTGTTTAGAGAGGTTTGCTGCTTTGGCACTCAGTTGTTGCCATGACAAACCAGAAGACAGGCCGTCTATGCGTGTTGTAGTGAGGGAGCTGGAGAACATACTTAACATGATGCATGATGATAGTGGCACCTTGTGTTCCAACTTGTCTCCGAGCTCGAGCACCGGACTTCCATCCTCACCGACGTCGACATCGGCATCGTACATTGCCCACGACCAGTTTGCATCGGGAAGCATTTCGGGGAGCGATCTCATCAGTGGCGTTGAGCCAGCCATCAGACCTCGCTGACATAGTTTCTGCTTACTTCTTGTAACTATGCTTATGCAAGTCCTAATATGTGCTTAGCCTTTGTAGGATTCATAGGTCTCTAACCTTAAAAGTATTCAATAAGTTTCTAAACGTTCATGAAATTTTAATTTTTGTCGATCTTTTATAAAATTTATAATTTATTGGGTACAAAATTCGATTTTATGCAAACTAAATCCGTTAAAAGAAATGTCGAATATATTAGGAACTTTAAAAATAAAATTGCAAATGATTACGATTCAAAATATTTAGTGATCTAAAAAATCGATCAATTTAACTAATTTGAGTTAGGTTGGGTTAAAATAAATAAAAATTTTATGAACGGAGTTGCTTAGTGAATTCATCTAAAAAAATTATTTATATATATATTACTAAAACGGTCGTTAATAGTGATCCACGAGGGAGTATTTGTTAATCTTTTTTTTAATTATTGAAATTAAAATTTAAATCTTTTAACCAATAATAAAATTTAATATTATAATTTATGAAAGTCTTTAATTATGTAAAATTATTAAAATACAAATTAAAATTTTTATTCGGTTTAAAAAATAATAATAATTTAGAAAACTCAAATAATTAAAAAAAAAATGGGAAACAGGTGGAATTGGCTGAGTCGTCTGTTTTGGACCAAAATCAGTAGATTTTTTTCTTTTGTTGATTTTTTTAAAAAAAAAAATAAATTAGTCGAGAGTGACATTTTTTGGTCAGATCAACTCGACCCGAGTTGACCATCCAATTATATCCTACATTAAAATTATTATAAAAATTAAAAATATTTAGACGCTTGTAATTGATTTTAATAAAGTATTATGACGTGTGAATATTTGATATTTGAATTTTAGAAGTAAATTTCTTTTTTAAAAAAATAATAAAATGGTACTTAATTCAAAAATTTGGAAAAAATTTTAAAAATATAAAAATTATTAAAAATTTTGAACCCATTGTTTTACTTCCAATTTATGATCGGCGGTGAGGTGAAGATTCCTGTTATTCCACCAACCACCTAAACAAAACTGCTGCCTTTCTCATTCCCCCAAGTCTCTAAGGTCTGGGGAGCGCCTTGTTCTTCCCCAAATCTTCTTCGTAAGTTCAATTTCTTCTTCTTCTTCTTCTTCTTCTCCCATTTCTGTCTTTCTTGTTAATTTTTTCATTTTTTGATTCATCTGTAATTCACATGTCTGTTCTTGTTTCAATTTCATCATTTTAGGGTTTTGTTTGCATTGTGTTCATTGTTTTCAATTTCATTCAAGAATGCGTCAACACCCTTGTTTCCTTCTTTGGTCATTTTTCAATGGGTTTTTCGATGTTTCGTCTTAAATTACTTGAAATGCCTCTCTTGTGTTAGGAAATTCTGTTTGGTGGGATTTGATCGCGGAATTGGTTGATTCTGGCGTTGCTTTTGTTCAAGTTTCTAGCAATTTGATCAAATTCTTGTTTGTTTTTGGTAATTTTAATTATGCAATTGTGGTTGACTTTGCGGTAGCCGTCTATTGCTTATCCTGTAGACCGTTTCTTCTTGTAAATCGTGGAAGTGATTTTCGATGCGATGGTTATTGACCTTCTCATTGTGTCCCGCACTTTCTTTGTGTTATTTTATTTGGGTTTTGGAGAAGATTTTTGCGAATTTATAGGAGATTTTGTTGATGTAAAGTTCAGAAAATTGCATTGCCGATTGGATTGCCTATTTTTTAGGGGAATCTATTTCAGCTCTCTTTGTTGCTAGTTTTGAAAATTGTCAGAACAATTGGATCTGCGAATGCCATTCGTGGTGTGTTAATTTGATGTATAGTTGTATTTCTGTTGAACAATTGGAAAATTTTTGCATTTTTTTTTTTAGCTTTCTTTAATATGTAGTGCAAATTCTTATTCTTATGATCACTCCTTGATTCACAGCATAGCTGCAAAGGCGTCTCCTTAGTCTTAATCTAACCAGAAAAGGTGGGGTTTCATTTTATTTTATTTTTAAAATTTTGGATTGAACGATACCTGCTTGCTGAAGTCTTATGCTATAAGCTCTTTGACTTGGAAACAGTGTCTGAAACGCTTTTCGGATTGTGGTGAGGTAGTGAGACTGTTTGATCTGGTGTTCCTAATTATCTGTGAGAAGAATGCTGTTCATCCATCCAATTCATGAAGTTGTACTCACTGTGTGAAATCTGCTTGAGCAAAAAAATGGCAGTGGGTTATAAGCAAGTTCTGCTGTTTTCTCTACTGTTCTTATTGTTCTGTGGTCTTGCTATAGCAGAGTTCGAACATGGTAATTCGCAAAAGATTATATCTGCTCCAGATAGAAATGTAGGAATGAAAGTTATTGATGGCTCTGGTACGGAGAATGTGTTTGGTTTTGAGGATGCTAAGTACTTGCTGCATGAGAGAAAAGAAGGGAGCAGAGTATCGGTATCAACTGTTGCGGTATTTACATTGGCCATGGCTGCTGCCACTGGTTTAGGGGCTGTTCCGTTCTTCTTTGTGGAACTTGATCCACAATGGGCTGGTTTATGCAATGGAATGGCTTCTGGGGTGATGTTGGCTGCTAGCTTTGATCTTATTCAAGAAGGGCAAGAACATGGTGCCGGCAATTGGGTTGTAATTGGGATTCTAGCTGGTGGAATTTTTATTTGGCTTTGTAAGAAGGTGATAGCCCTGATCTTTCTACTTAATATAGTTTATCCTTGCCCTTGAGATTTTATCGTTTAAATTCAGTCGCTGCTTCTTGGGCGTTCTTTACTTGTTGCCACGTGTTATTTGTGGAGGAGTCTAAACTATGCTGTTTTGTTTATGTAAGATAAGACGGGATCATGGGTTCATGGCTCATCTTTTTCGTAGCATATTGAACGTTAATCTGTATTTAACCCCTGTGTTTATGCATTTATTTTCCGGATCATTTGACCACGACATCCAGATCTCATTTCTTTTTTTCATATGTTGATTTTCAGTTTCTTGAACAGTATGGAGAAGTGAGTATGTTAGATATAAAAGGTGCGGATGCAACTAAAGTTGTTCTTGTAATTGGGATAATGACTCTTCATTCATTTGGTGAGGGCTCTGGTGTTGGCGTTTCTTTTGCGGGGTCAAAGGGTTTCTCTCAAGGTCTTTTGGTGACTTTAGCTATCGCCGTGCATAACATACCTGAGGGATTAGCTGTGAGTATGGTTCTTGCCTCAAGGGGCGTCTCACCACAGAATGCCTTGTTATGGAGTGTGATTACGTCATTACCTCAGGTATTGCATTTATAAAATTTTAAGTTGTTTCCCTCCTCTTTCATTTCCATTAGCCTTCAACATCATCTGTTGCCACAGTCAACTTAGTGGAATTGTTTTGGAGCAATCCTTTTGGGTATGCTCGATCATTTCTCGCCAGATGCATCATCCAAACACTGATTTGATTTTTCATAATGAAGAGGCTCATGTGCTTGGATGGCATGGTGGATAGCCCATAACATTGTCAATGCTTGTTCTTGGATGGGGTTCTCTTTATTTATTTTTATTATATGTTTAATCGATTAATCTCAGTCATCTACATGTCATCTCAATGGATCCTAGTAAATGTGACAGAAAGTATACAATTTTGTTGTACGATTTGAGTTTTTAACTCTGTTGCAATTTCAATGTCTCAGCCTATTGTAGCAGTTCCTTCGTTCATATGTGCTGATGCATTTAATAAGTTCCTTCCCTTCTGTACGGGCTTCGCTGCTGGATGTATGATATGGATGGTGATTGCTGAAGTTCTCCCGGATGCATTTAAGGTATTCCCAGCTTTCATTTTTCCCCCTATCAACCTGAAGGTAGACTGAGAAAATTTAAGGTGTCTAAGTTCTCGTCCTTAAAACGGATTTACATTTAACTATTCTTCTAAATAGAACTATCTAGGGGTGCCGGGGTCGTAAGGACTTTGGAATTTTGGAGATATTTTAGCTCTACAAGGTCCTGAGCTCCATCTCCTCCGAACTTGAAAACTTGTTTACTTAAAACTCCTGGTGTCACCTGAAACTGGCCTTGAGGCTCCTGATCTAGTGCACATGCAAAGAGTGAGGCTTCTGATGCCTCGTTAGACGAAATACGACTCAATAGATGAAACATGGTCACTCTTGTGACATTCTTTTTAAATGTTTGTTATTTTTATTTCTTGAAATGAAGTTTTAAGTGCGCGTGTACTGAGGGCGTTCTGCGATGATGTTTAGATTTTTCCTTATTCTTGAACAAATTTATTGTTACTCTAAATTATCTGGTGTTTGTGCTGTCATAATTTTTCTGTTATTTATTTAAAAAGTTTGTGTTAAATTCAAAATTGGGGAAAATTGGAATAACTTGAAGTTGGTTAGTAATTTTGGTTTTCTTTGCTTTGTGGTTACAGGAAGCCTCACCATCACAAGTTGCATCTGCTGCCACACTTTCTGTGGCGTTCATGGAAGCTCTAAGCACATTGTTCCAAAGTTTCACCCATGAATACAAGTGAGTTCTTTGGCACCTACCTTTTCTTTTTCTTGATTCCTCTGCTTGTTTAAATTATGCTAGAACTTCTTTTTTTCGATTCTGCTGCTCAGTTCTGCGAATGATGTCATAAGCTTATTGTTATCTTTGCATAAAATTTTGGCTTATCGTGATTTTTCCGCAACAGACTCATCTTTATAGTTTTCATTACTATTTTCTTCAATTTGATCGATTCAATATTTTGTGTTTCAGCTCAGAAGATGTTTCTGGCTTCTTCGTTTCCTTACTTTTTGGCGTCGGGCCACTGCTTGGTGGCCTTGTTCTTGTTGCATTCACTCTTGCTTTCCATCTTCAGCATGCCCTACTCATGGGTGCTGCTTCAGGAATTGCTTTCATCCTCGGTGCCTGGCGACCGTTGCAGCTACTCTTTTCTTCAAAAATGGATTTCATCCCTCTTGTAACGCTTCTAATGTTAGGCGCTTCGTTCATCCACTTCTCAAGTTCCAGTCTGCTGAAGCTTGCGGGCCAGAAAAGAGCTTCGGTGAATGATTTCCCCGCTTCGACCAATTTTTCAGTAAGTGTGCACACCCTTCAATCTTTCCTATCATGTGGAGCAGTTGCATTTCATGCTTTAGCCGAAGGGCTTGCGCTAGGAGTCGCTGCCCCGAAAGCTTATGGATTTGGTCGTCACATGGTTCTCCCTGTTTCTCTGCACGGCCTCCCCCGGGGTGTAGCAGTAGCTAGTTGTATATTTGGAGCAACTGATAGCTTGCATGGATCTCTCATGAGCGCAGCGCTCATAGGATTCGTGGGTCCAATCTCTGCCATTGGAGCAATACTCGCAGGTATCGACTACAGCGGGTTAGATCATGTGATGGTGCTGGCTTGCGGAGGGTTACTTCCAAGCTTTGGAAGTGTAATCAAGAGAGCAATGCGGTTGGATACACAGAAGAGTAGCAGTGGACTTGTGATTGGTTTGGGGTTCTCTATTTTGTGTTTGATGTGCACCAAGTTGGTTTGTTTGCACACACCTTACTGCAATTCTGCACCAGAGGCTGTTCGATGACGAACACGTGTTCACCTTTGTAATTATTTCAACATAGTTTGCAACAGAATACACATTTGAGAGTTGCAGGTAAATTGAAAAGCTCCCACGTCAGTTCAAGCAATACTCATGGCTGTGCCTTTCACTCAAATTTGCAAGGGAAGGGGCCAATCACTGCAGGCACATGTTTAAACTTGTTGTATACAATAGGTTCTGACTTATCTTATAATGCCTTAAAATTTTTGGTTGTATTTTATTATCCGTGAAAGACTGAGAAGGATTAGGCCCTTATCTCAGTAAAAAACTAAGATATTGTAAATCAAGACCACTTTTCTTTTCAAAGTGGGTTATTAGCTCATGGCATACCTTATATTAGGATTGTTTAGCTCTACCTTAACTGACATATAAAGATCCTATCATCCAACCTGTATTAACCATCAATTGTTATCGCACGGGTGTCGAATTAAAGTTTGTTGGAACGTCATCGATGGTACGTGGATTTTGCAGATATAGCATCAAACGGGTGTCGAATTAAAGTTTGTTGGAACATCATCGATGGTACGTGGATTTTGCAGATATAGCATCAAAGTCAATAACCCCTTTTGGCAAAATGTTTTTAGGTAAAAGCAAGGACATGTAAGGGTAGTGACAAGGAAGGCTTAGTTGCCATAGGTGACATCTTTGTGTTTTATATGGATTCTTTGAATTTGTTTTTTTCACTCTAGAATGACGTCCAATATGATATATTGCACACAGTCAGTTATAGAAAGTCATACACTAACATTGTCGTTAAAGTTCAAATTTCTTACTACTAACTTGTTTGTTGGGTTAGAACAGGTGCCAACAAACAAGTGTACTTGTCTGTAAAGTTCAAATTTTTTACTACTAACTTGTTTGTTGGATCAGAACAAGTGTACTCTATCGTTGTTTAGGTGCCGTTGTTAGATGGTACAATAGTTCATAATCTTTTGAGTTTTTTTTTTTTTTTTTTTTTTCTCAACTTGGGCTTTTTGAAATTCTCAATTTTAGCCTTAATCTTCTAAAAAGATATGTAGAGAAACAAAGAAAGAACAAAAAAAGGGTTTATTGCCTTATAACTTAAAACAAACATTCAGAGTAAGCATTAAAACCCAAATCCAGAAGAACTTTATGAACAAATCAGTGATGAAGAAGTCTGATGTGCATCAACAACTCTAACCCAGAGAAAGCTCAAGCAAAAATAGACACATTTGGCCAACAAACTCATTCAAGTTCCATGAAAACTATCGGCAAAGCCTCATAGTAATACCTAACAGTTCATAAAGAGATCTCACATCACTTTGAGCTTCTTATTTGTTACAAGCAAAGTAAACTGATCCCTAAGTCACAGAGCATGGGGAGCTAATATTAACAATGGAAACAAAGCCAAAAATGATACCATACCTTACTTTAACTCCTCATCTTTATCCCCTTCCAACAGCTTCTCTTTAGTATCAGTGGCGTCCAAATCCAGTGCTGCTGGCTTAGCGTCCTCAACACTCTGTGATCCCGTCATCCTTGCGAGGATCACGAACGACATTCCCCCGAGAATGTTGTTCAAACATCTCAACACCACCACGGAGCTCTTGAATGCCAGAGGGGGAAGCCCCTTGGCCAACACGAATTCAAGTCCATTCAAAGATTGGTATCTCAAGTTACTGCTGACCCCCATGTGAATTGCCCATGTCATGGCGTTCAGCAATGTGGGAGGTGCCTTGTTTGGCGTCTCGAATTCAGGATCCATCTTCTTCCTCAGCTTGATCAAGCCATTCGAGAGTGCAGTTCCTACGAGACCAGCTGCTAGTCCAACCGTGGCGAAGACGGTTCCTTTGTAAACCAAGGTTCCCAATCGTTCTAAGACCGTGAAAGCACCGGGTTCGAACATGTGACTCGTGGGGCAGCTTCCAAAGATTGCAGGAAGCTGTTTGGCTGCTACACCGGCTGATGCAGTGGGAGCCAACAGATACATGAGAGTAAAATTCAATATAGATCCGACAACAAGGGTGGAGAAGACGAAATCGAGCTCGTTGAGACCGAAATTCGGTCGGGATGCCATGTCTCCAAGAACACAAGCACTCACACCAACCAGCTCCTCCATGAGTACCTTAAAAGGAAACTGTGGATCCGCAGCAACTCGAGTTCTCCACCCTTGAAGAAACAATCCAAACACTCCAAAACTCGACGAATCATCCCCATCAGCCCGATCATCGCTCCAACCACCATTGTCACCACCACCGCCGCCACCTCCTCCACCGCGGCCAACGCCATTTCCACCGTCGCCACCAGCAAGAGAGAGTTCAGATTTCACCAAAAACCTAGACCTCGTTAAGTCCGCATTAAAAAGAGAAAGAGATCGGCTCCTCGATTCAACCGCCGACGAATTAGACAGAAAAGAGAAAGCCGGAGGATTGTTATAAGCATGACTACTGGGAACATTATAATAATTCCTAGGACGAACAGAGCAATGCAGCTGAGCCATGGACGCCATAGTTCCACAAAAGAATTCCCTCAAAAAACAACCGCACCCTATTCCTCAAAGCTGGAAAAAACAAACAACAAACACAGATTCAGAAAAACAAAAACAACCAAATTCAACAAGTATTCACCAGATCTGAAGCTGAAAATGGATCAAAATGGGGGATAAAGAGGCAATACAGAACAGGGATCACACGATCAACATAAAACACACGAAAACAAATGATGGGAGACTCGAATTACCTTGAAAAAGAGAAGAATCAAGAGAGGAGGTGAATTGGCGCACCCAAAAATGGAGAGGAGAACAGAGGGAGGAGTTGGTGGCGGAAACGGGTGAAGAACGGTACTGTTGAACTTAGGAATGTATATATAGAGAAGAGGCGTTAATCGTCAGCAGTTAAATCTCTGTTTCGCTTTTTTCTTCTCTCTCCCTCTCTCTCTCTCTCTCTGTAAACCCTAACGATACAATATTTAGAATTAAATTTAATAACCGATAAGGCTCAACAAATTCGACCTTAGCTCAGTTGGTAGAGCAGAGGACTCTAGTGGTAATGTATTCCAAAGCCATCCTTAGGTCGCTGGTTCGAATCTGAATATATACAATTTTTTTTTGTATAAAACGAGAAATATTCTTCATTTAAAAAAAAAAAATTAAGTTTGTGCAATTGGATGAATTATATTGGTATTAGAAATTTGAAATAAAATTAAATAGTTTTTATTTATTTTTTATTTTATTTTAAAGATATTTTTGAAGACATACTTAGTTTGTTTGTTAGTTTGAATTTAGCACGTTGGAATATTATTTTTTTTTTTGGTATAAAAAACACGTTTTATGTTAAAAAAAAAAAAAAAAACTTAAATCTGATATAATTTAGTGGGTAGAGATGTCCACGGTGTGACATAGACGGAAAAATCTTTCCCATCTCCATTCTTGTCGCCTATTTCATATCTCATTCCTGCAAAATTCTCCATTTATTTCTGCATGAATAAGGTTTCTGATAAATAATTTACCTCAATTTATTATTCTTTCGAAAAATAGTTATTTTTATATTCCAAATATATATATATATATAACAATTAAAAAAATAAACAACATAGTTTTTGTTTGAAAATTATAATTGGGGCGAAGGTTAACTAAATATATTTTTTTTATATAGGCAAAAAGGGTGTATAATATTAATATACGTTGAAAATATATTCATATTAAGCAAGGTTGGGTGGGAATAGAGTGGGGACGGGGACGAAGAATATAATCCCGTTTCCGGCCCCATTTATCTAACCGAAAAAAAATGTTTCTCATTTCTCATCTAAACGGAGAATCTCCTTCCCGTTCAAGGCTAGTCCTTATAGAGCCGAGACATGGACATCTCTATTAATGAGACAAATATTCTTAAAGGTAGGTAACATCCTTAGGTTGTTTATTTCCAGTTAAACTATTTTTTTTTTTACCTTTTCTTTTTAAGTAAGAAGAAAATATTTTTTTTTATAAATACAAAAATCTGACCTTTAGCTCAGTTGGTAGAGCAGAGGACGGGGAGAAATATTCTCAAACCCATCTTTAGGTTGATGGTTTAAATCTGGTAGGTCGGAATCACTATTTAATCACTAAAAAAACACGTTCACACTAGAAATTTAAAATAAAATTAAATACGTTTTTTTTTTTTTTTTTGTCCTATATATAATATATATTCATTTTCAAAACCATTTCTTATATACTTCCAAAATTAGATTGTTTTCTTTTGAAAATAAAATTTGAAGCCTCATAGAACTCTATTTGTAACTTTGTCTTTTCATACAAAAGCTTAGAAATTTATTATTTGCATATAAAACATGAAGAAAATATTAATACATTTAATATTTTATAGTTTAAATTTAAATATTATTTTAATTCCTATAATTTTGATATTTTAGTTTTTTTTTTTTTTTTTTTTTTTTCATTTTTAAAGATGGTAAAGTTCCATACGAGCATTTTCAAATTATAGGGACTAAATTGACTAAACTTCTTTCAATTTACCCTCAGCTTTTATTGCCTTAACAAGCTCTCGAGCCTCCTTTGCGCCGCTTTCCTCGTATAAGCCACCTGGTTAACCTCTTAGGTTGAATTATATGGTTGAAAATGTTGTAATAAAAAAAATGGTCATGAGAGTCCCTTTTAAGTCCGGCAAAAGAACAGGCAACTTAGGAAGACAGAAAGAACCGAGAGATACAGTAATGTAACATGTTTGGAAAGCGCATCTCGCATCGCATATGGAATATCTCATACCCACTTGAGAAAGAAAAAGTCTCGGATATCATATATCGAAGAAAACAAGCACTCAATAGATATAGATTTTCTTACCGCTTGACTTGCTTCTAAACTTGTGGAAAAATGTGCATTCTAGTTTCGGTTAAAGGGTTCCAAACCTTGCCACTCTCTAGGAATCGCTTGGTTTGAAATTTTATTTAGGATGTTGGGAATAAGATTTATCAACGTTTTAGTAAATTGTTTTAAAAGATTTTCCATACTCAGTAGCGATCTTATTTTTTAATGGAAAGGAATGGTCGTTACATCGATAAAATTTCGCAAGCTAGTTCATCGATCAAATTCAACCCATTCAACCAACTTTTCAAAAAGGCAATTTCATCGTAAGTTTTTCATATTCCTCAAACCGATATCAGTTCAACTTCAAACATTATACAAAAACTAATCCAAACCGACCCACTTACACCCCTAATACTCAAAAGAATAAACCAAAGAGGAGCATATCGAAAACCCGACACCGAAAAGTCAGTCCAAGAACACATTGTCAGTAGTCAAGGCATATATTTGCGATTTTTTCACAAAATGATAGACAAAAAGGAAGAATCTATTATGAAACTGATAGCAAACACAAACCGAGTGGCACCAAAAATATAATTGACATTGACATTGACATTGCATACAATACCCTAACAGATATCAAACAGTACAACATCATCACTTCCTAATGTTCTTCATGTTTTTTCATCAATAATGTAGAAACTACACACTCCTCAGCAGTCACTAACACAAGAATAAATCCAATGAATATATAACTTTGTTGGAAAAACTGACCTATTCAAACCTACACTCAACGTGAGAATTCCCTACTGATACTAACACTTTTTTTGTTTTCTTTCACCCTCTCTTTTATTTTCTTTTTCAAGTCTTTTCTGTCAAAAATATTAAAGAAACACAGAAAAAGCCAGCAGAACGCTCACCGGGAACTCGAGTTAGGCTCTCCCCTTTCTCGTGATTGTAGCAATGTCACACGGTTGGTTGTGATTCACTTTGAGGTATACGAGTGACCGAATTTCTGGACTGGGGTGGAAATTGTTTAGGGTAGAGAATGATGTGAGCGCTTAACGACCTGTTTTGGCACGTTTCATTCCACTTGAATTGAATGGAGAGACACTACCACCAGGTCCTGGACTTTCTTCTCGGAAGCTCGAGTTTAGCATTGCGAGTTCGCGTAACTGCTGCCTCTTAATGTAATCATGGCTCTCGTCCTGCAAGTGATGGTTCAGATGTTGAAAGAATCAGAAGTTTGTTCGATTGTTCGTTGAAAGAAATATCAACTTTGTTCGATGAGTAACCGTAACCGAAAGTAGAAAAAGTGTAAGAATATAAGGGCAAATAAAAGAGAGCGCATAAGGAGGTAAACTACCATAAGGTCTCCAATCAAGTTAAGTAAATAAGTGAATAAGCTGCAGCTTAAGTTCAGCAAAAGTACGATTATAATCCCTTGAATGGCTCGATGGCAAATCGCTCTAATATTTGGTTCTACACTCTTAAAAGGGCTTTTAAGGAGCTTCCGTTGTTAAAAATCACGACCCTCCACAATGGTATAATGTTGTCCACTTTGAGCATAAGCTCTTATGACTTTGATTTTGGTTTCCCCAAAACGTCTCATACCAATGAAGATGTATTCCTTACTTATAAACCCATGATCAACCACTTAATTAATTGATGTGAGACTCCTCTCCCAGCAATCCTCCACTCGAACAAAGTACACAATAGAGCCTCTCCTAAGGCCTATGGAGCCCTCGAACAAAGTACACCCTTTGTTCGACACTTTAGTCACTTTTGACTTCACCTTTGAGGCTCACAGCTTCTTTGTTCGACGTTTGAGAATTTTATTGACAGGACTAAGTTAAGAGCATGACTCTGATACCATGTTAAAAACCACGACCCTCCACAATGGTATGATATTGTCCACTTTGAGCATAAGCTCTCATTGCTTTGCTTTTGGTTCTCCCAAAAGGCCTCATATTAATGGAGATGTATTCCTTATAAACTCATGATCAACCCCTTAGTTAGTCGATGTGAGATTCTTCTCCCAACAATCCTCCACATCTGTGACAGTTACTTGGGTATAAAAAAAAAAAAACACTTGAGAACGAAAAAAGATACTTTTGAGAACAAAAAACGTGATAAAAGCACTTGAGAACGAATCCAACGTCGAGAACGTACCACAGGTTTGAGCAGTTCTTCAATAATTTCCTGTGCTTGTCTGAGCCTTATATCAACAATATTGACTGGTAAATCCCCCTCAATCAAGATGTGCAACGGTTCGTTCAAGTGCTCATAGCCAGGTCGTCCCCTTAATTTCTCTTCCTTCATAATGTAAAAGTTGCACAAAGTAAGAAAGAATAGAATTTATAACCAATACCACTAACAAACAGAACAATAACAATCCAATGAGAAAAGAAAAATATGTATTCAATAGTTTCGACTCGTGATAGACCCATCATGTGAATCAATATCAATAAAATACGATGAAACTAAAATTGCAATATCCTTATAATACCTTGTCTGGATCCTTTATCGATCCTTTCCCTCGAATGTATACACGACAACCTGTAGTAACTTCCACCCGTTTCAAGGAATTACCACGAGGTCCCAAAAGCCGCCCTACAAAATTGAACTGACGTCCACAAAAAACAGAAACTTCACGTATTAATATGTCCACTCTTTTATATTTTCGCGCAGCAAATAGAACGCCATTCATACTTTGACAGAACTTACATTGGGGTAAGTATCCACAGGTATTTCCAGGCGTAGAATCCTCTTTACTGTGAGCGAGCTAGGACTTGCAGGTGCACTTTGCCAGTCCATTGTCATCCCAGGGGGTCTACTTAACCTCTGCTGTATATTTCAAAAGGTTCTAGCATCTTAATACGATTTACAAACAAACTAAGAATAACAGTTCATAGCACAAATTAACATAATAGAATTCTCTATATGAGCATATATAAGGACTGGGAAACGATCGGGGGATTACAAACGAAAAGGAAATAATTGAAAATGAGATAAATAACCTGGAAAAACATTTTCATAATGTCTGTATGTAGTTGAAACATTCTTCAAGTGTTCTTGTAATTATCTTGAATAACGATGAAATAAGAGGCCAACTTTTGCAAGAAACGTTGGGTTTATCTAGATTCGTTACACATACTTGAACGGATTAAATGCATGATAAATTATATCTTTATTCTTTGCATTCATCTAAACGGCTGCTCTTCAGTCTTATAGATGATGCTTTCAGTTGATTTTTAAAGTTGAGAACCTACTAGGGCAACCAGTGTGAGACATTATCCTCAAGAATGGTGAAGAAGTTTTTGACCAACTCACACAAGTGAAAAGTAATAAAATGTATGTACTATCACAATCCCATACTTGGAGAAGTACTGGGAGAAGTCAAAGTATATAACAGCCCAAGCTCACCGTTAGCAGATATTATCTGCTTTGGCTTGTTACATATCGTCGTCAACCTCATAATTTTAAAACAAATCTATAAGGGAGAGGTTTCTACACCCTTATAATGAATGTTTCCTTCTCCTCTCCAACCGTTGTGGGATCTCACAATCCACCCCCTTAGGGGCCCAGCGTCCATGCTAGCACACTTTTCGGTGTCTAGCTCTGATACCATTTGTAACAGCTCAAGCCCACCGCTAGCAGATACTTTCCACTTTGGCCAGTTACGTCTAGCCGTCAGTCTCACGGTTTTAAAACGCATCTGTTAGGGAGAGGTTTTCACATCCTTATACGGAATGCTTCGTTCCCCTCTCCAACCGATGTAGGATCTCACAAAAAAATTCTCTCACTTCTTTTATTATTGAAGGAAGACATTGGGATATTATTTTCCATATTGGATGTTTAAAGCTAGTAAAGGGCTCGAGACGATAAGATCTTAACATATGCAAGTTTCACCCTTTCATAATCAACAACACTGCCGCATGTTTTTTACTCCAGAAGTCTCAATATTTTTCAGGTCAACAGCCGTCGAGAAAAAACAGATTGTGGAAACATATTTGTTTTTACATAAAATAACGTGCATTTACGAGTGCAAATAAAATCTCTCCCTTTTTTAAATTGAAAACCGAACTTCCATTGAGAAGAAATGAAAGAATACACAATCTCAATAAGTATATGAAATAGTATTACTACACAGTCAAATTGAGAAACATGAAACTGCCTTATTGAGAACAAACAAAATAAAATGGTTTCCCTAAAGCTACAAGCCTAATTCAGAGGGGATATTTCACTGTTACCTTTAATCTATCAAGTAATAATTGTGGCATATGTTAGCTCTAAATCAAAAGATAGTAAAATTGGACTCAAAATGATGAGATCAACAAGTATCAGGAGCCAGTTACAAATAAGTTTCAATTTTGCAACAGTCGTTACCTCCTGAGGAAGACCATTCCAGCCACTCAGGCCTGCGCTGCTAACATTAGATATAAGGTTCGAAGAAGCCATTGGACTAGGACTTCTATGCCGAAGCCTATCGAGGTCACAGAAACCCTGGTTGGACATCATTCCAGAAACCCGCAATATCTCTGCATTGGAAGTGCTTGCAGTGAGAAGTTACTGACAGAATTGAAAAGCAGAAATATATAGAAATGAAAATATAGAAATCTGTTTGTGCATTAACTACAGAGAACACGAATACGTAGGAAAAACTGTAATCAGAAGTTCAAGTAGCACCAGACTTTTAACCTAAGAACTCAAAGACAACCTAAAGAATAGATCTTGTCCCAGTAAAGGCATATAAAATTGTTAACAGAACCATATTTGCCACGCATTGATTTCTTAAGCTACTTCATATCTTCACGACCTTAAGTGGCTAACCTTCAGTTTCAAAGATTTTCCAAATTCAACACACAGCCTTCAATTCTCATGTCAAAGATTAAGATCTTATTAACTTATAAGTGACTAACAAAAAACCATCATGGTTGACCTCCTGGTCACAAGGGTCTTGAAAAATAAGAGGAAATGGGTTCAATCCATAGTGGCCACCTTCTTAATATTAAATATCCTACAAGTTTTCATGTCAACCAAACGTAATAGAGTCTAGCGGTTGTCCAGTGAGTTTAGTCAAGGTGCGCGCAACCTGTGACCCAAACACTCACCGATTTCAAATATATATATATAACAAAGGGCAGATTGTCAACATGAATTTGAGCCTCCACCATTGATGAGTAGATCAAATATTGACTGTCAACAACATTCTAAACCAAACTTAATGGCTTAACTTTCATTTCTTCTAGTCTCAAATTGGAATAACAGAAAAACTCGAAAATTCTTAGCCATGACAATGTTGGTCTATTAATGGTATATTCATTAATGAGCGTGATACACCAGAAGAGATTTTTTGTAAAAGAAATCAGTGTAAACAAAATATATGTCTAAAAAATTTAAAAAGAAAAATCCACCAGAATGGGTATGTATAAAGCTTTGAACCTCATGTCTTAGAAGAATTAAGTTAGCTAAGGCAAGAAACCCAAGTCAAAACAAAAGGTACCAATACGCAAGCGTCTGTTTAATTCTAAAAAAAAGGAAAGTCAACAAGATTAACTTGACATTTCCCAACAAATACATACACACAGTCACGCCTAGTGCCACGAGCCCTCAGCTTGAATCAATTGAATCAAATACAAAAGAGCTTGTTCGATTGTGTTTTCACTCACTGATTTGTCTTGCTTGCTCTTTGTTTTGAAATGGATATGCATTTCATAATGTTTTTGAACTCTCACTCTTATTTATTCAGAAACATTTCTAACTTTTAATCTTTTTTTATTATAGGCTAACACAGAATAAGAAACAAAAAACAACCCATTTCTACTTTTTAAGTAATGAAGGGAGAAAAAACAATAAATGACAAATGAACAAAGATGAGATGAAACTACTATCAACACACATTTTTCTTCCTTCAGCACACAAGGAAAACAAGGAAAACAAGAAAAAAACAAACTTAAAAAGGATGATTAATCATTGATCAAAGCCCCCAAAAACACAATCCCTTAAAACCCAAGTGTAGAATGTGAAATAAATGATCCATCACTAACATATCCACAATTCAAAAGCCAAACTCAAGAACAAAGAGAGCAATCGCTGTTACGCAGCTCAAAATCCACCAGCTGTTCCGATCTAAACATACAAATACACATCTCCACAACAACTAAGCAGCTCAAAAACACTAAAAGGATATTCAGAACACCGAAAATTCAGAGAAGAACAATACCTTGATTCAAAAGTCGGCTGCAGATCGGAAGAACATGCATGAAGGGGCCGAACTTCTGATGCTCTGCCAAAAGCTCCGACAAGTACTGACTAGAGATTAAAGAACAAAGAATGAAAGGACAATTAATTATTCAACAATTAATCAACGATTCATCAACTCAATCAAGCTGAGCAGACTCAAAAATCTTAAATGAAACAAAAATAAGAAGAAAGGGAAATTCTGGAAGTGGGTTATCGGAGGAGGTACCTGTCGACATCAGGAGTGGTTCTGATGTGAGGCGAAGCAGTTCTTGCCGGGGAGAAATTGGTACTGTACATACCTGACATAGCACTTTGTGTTTATTGCTCTGAGCAGAGATGGATACAGAGAATTGGGGATTGGAAAGTAGAAGAAGGGTCTTTGGAAGATTGAGGCGGCGATGACGCCGGAGAATACGGTGGATGAGGAGAGCTCCGACGAGGGAGGCGGAGGCGGAGCTAAGGAGTGTAAGGGTGGATGCCTGTAAATATGGAGGCTGAAATGTGGAAAATCTATGATTGTTAATGGTCGTCGTTTTCTTTTCTTTTCTTTTCTTTTTTTTTTTTTTTTTTTTTTTTTTTTTTTTTTTTTTTTTTTTTTTTTTTTTTTTTTTTTTTTTTTTTTTTTTTT